AGGTTCCGGGATTCCAGGTTTCAGGATGGGGTTCAGCGTTCGGCAGAGTTCCGGTTTTTGGGCTCGGCGAAAACCAGCGCACCACTCCCAGACCCAGAGATTGAAATTGAAGAGTCACGGCAGTCAGGAATTGTGTGGAATTGTATAGTCAAACAGGCCGAGATTTTAAGAAACATGTCATTTACATTCATTTGCAGCAGTGCAATGCAGTGCAATGCAGTGCAATGCAGTGCAATGCAGTGCAATGCAGTGCAAATCAAAGTGGTCAAGGATCCACTCGGGCCCAGGTCTACATCGAAGCCCCACTGATGCTGCCCATCAGACAACGACATCCATCGTTCTGGATGTACATTCCTGCGATGCGACGAAGTATAAGAACAACATACAACCGACAAACATCGACAAACTGTGAAATAGATTGAAATACGGGAAGCAAGATAATCAGATAAGCAAGTGAAGCAAGGTAATTTGCCTGAAATGACGAAGCAGCAGCTTTCCATCTGGATGAAGTACCCATAGCAGCAACTTTAGGCCACGTATGGGATGAACAGTGTGGTCCAATGCATTGCTGACAAAGACCACGTGGAAATAGTTTTTTGGAAAAAATTGCCAAAGCTCTTCGACATCACAATACCTTGGTGGAATATTGACAACAATATTGAAAATCACTGGATCTTCGTTTCAGCAAAATGTAGACTATCAAAGTGGTCCCATGCAGAAATTGCAGGTCAGCAACTTTCATCAAGCGACGACTTTAAGTCGCAAATTTCAGTCAAGGAGTCAAGAACTCCAAAGGGCAAAATTGACATGAATAGAATGAAAAAAACATCACAAACTTGAACAAAATGAATGTAATAACTGCATAAATAGACTTACGTCCGTATATTTACGTATGTTATATAACCATATATAACTTATATAACCATAATCTTAAATAACTTCCCTGTATTGAACCAACTGTTCTCCAAGCTTCTCTGGAAATCCATAAGGCGGTCGAAATTGACTCTCTTTTGCCAGTTCCCGGTACAAGCGGCTAAAGGCGTCGCAGGAGGTCGTTGAGATGCTGCCACCGTGGGGGCATTGAAAGTGGGGTTGGGCTGCTACCGGTCCAGTGCCCAAAATCAGGACCCGAAGCTCAGGACCAGTCCTGAGCGATATCTCCAATGATCATCGTGAGCAAAGAAAGTCAAGACATACACATAGTCAACATATTGAGGCCAAAGGGAAGGGGACGAAAGCTAGTTGGGCAAGGAAAGAGGTGTAATTATTGAAAGAATATGGCGGGACCATTTCCATTTCAACTTATGAATTAATTTGAGAAAAAAGGCTGCGCCGCCAGATCCATTCTTCAATAAACAAATAACACAGGCTTAGAATCTGGTACAGGTGACTTGGGTACATACATCCATCGAGCAAGAAACGGGTGGGAATCTTAAAATGCGCATCTTTCTTCGTCAAGACTGGGTCATGTTTTCATGCAAAGGTCTTGAGAGAAAGGAGTGCAAGAATCCAAGTGGTTGTTCATGGTTGTTCTCTCATTACATTACATTACATTACATCACATTAGATTAAGATTAGATTCGATTAGATTGGACTGGATTGGATTAGGTTTGATTAGATTTAGACTAGAGTAGAGTAGATTATGGTGGTCGTCTTGATGCTTCCTCATGCATAGCATGTTCTAGACTGCTGTGTTTGGCTGACTTCTATCCTGTTTGATACCTTCACCAAATCCTCCTGCGTGCAGGTATCATCCATGACAATCATTTGTATCCAATGTCATTCATCTCAGTGCTTTGGGGTGCATGGCGTGTATTACAGGTTATATATTACAGTGTTATGTTTGGCTGAGTTCCAGTTCGCTTGATACCTTCACCAACTCTTGCAGCGTGAAGGTATCACCCATGACCATTTTATGTGTCAAATAGGGTTCATATTGGTGCTTCTGGATGCATAGCATGTATTCGACTGCTGTGTTTGTCAACATTACATTGCATTGCGTTGCATTACATTCACAACACTCAGGGTGAATATTGTCTTTCATATCTGTAAGCGTGGGCATGCGAACGCCTGGTCGCAAATGAATGCAAATGAAACCCAGGAAATTCAGCGGGATGGACGCAGCGGGGTTTGAGCCCGCGGGCGGGGGGTTAATGATTCGAAATGATTAATCTTGCCGAACGTCGGGGTCCCAAAACCAGTTCGACATGATAATCATGGAGGCCGTATCCAGTCTGCCCCTAATTCATTGCCAAAGCAAATCCAACTCCAGCTAGCAAGCTACAGTAGCTTTCGTGATTAGCAAATTATTAACTTATTAACCTAGTCCTGAAACTTGCAATGAGCACCCTGGAAAACTTCACTGCTCATCCCTCTCAGTTTGTGTCTATGTGGTCCACCTTCATGCATCTGAATGAGGCTCTGTCACACTCTCCTTCTCCCTCTCTCTCTCTCTCAGCAATGCTTGTCCGTTGGGCTGGCGACTAGTGACTAGCTGCTAGAGTTGCAGAATAGTCACTGGCATATGATTGGTACACCGCCTCCGTTCTGCCAAGATTCGTCATGGTCATGAGGCTACATAACTCTTGCGGATCTTTGTGCTTCATGTTGAGAAGCTGCTCCGGTTTTCTTCTCATCTTCTCCTCCCAATACATTCGGTTATCCCAGGCTCCCATGGCCCAATTGATGCGCATATGCACTTCCGCGTGGTTCTGAATGCCTCGATGTGATGGCACCTCATCATGCAGAGTCTGTCCAGAAACTCCACTGACATAAGGCAATCCACGTCGTGGCTGCATCCACTGAAATCCGCAGCTGTGCCCGTGCTCTACAAAGAGTTGAAAGTTTGCGGAGAACTCCGCCACCGTCAGGGGCCAATCACTTGCGTCAATACAATGGCTCACCATTGCCAAAGCCTTGAAGGCCACCATAAAGAAACTTAATGCAGGATCTTCGGAATGCATTGAATGCATGGAGGTTTTTGGGGCTGATCCAGTGGATTCACATGAACTTGAGGATTCTGCAATTGCACACATGGAGAGCAAGAATGCCATTCCTGGGAAACATGAGAGATGAGCAAGTCTTCGGTCAAAGGCAGGGGTGTGCATCATCTCTGCATAAACACCAGCACGATTTAATCCTGCCCAGCAAAATTGATGCACCGCCGCCATGTTTGAGGTATCCAAGATCTGCGCGTTTCGAAAGATCCAACTGCATGTTGGACCTGAGCTTTCACATGTAATGGTCCCCTGCACCTCTGGTTCCAGGCTCTTCAAATAGTCAGCACCTGGCAGCAAAGGATGCCGTCGGCAAGCTGCCGGATGCTGCTGGCACTTATTTAAAGGACAAGTCAACTGACATCAACTGACACAAAATCGCCAACGTGGTGGTGACGTGGTGGCAACCACATGCAATATTTGAGGGTATTTGACCAAGTATTTGAATACATGTTGTTTTTTTGAAACATATTTGTTTGATCCTAAGCTCCAGACAGCAAGCTGAGAAGGTAAAGTCCTGCGGGGGACTTCTGACGAGGATTACATTTGGAGGAAAGCATTGCGGGATGTTGGTCTGGCTCTTATGTCTTAGCTTTTCATGGTTTGTGTCTAGTTGAGATGGCTCCAAACTAAAACTAAGACAGCCATGTCTGAAGAGCTATTGTCCCAAGGCATAGTTCGAGGCTTACATATGGTGACAAGTACATACAAGTACATCCTTTTCTCATACTGATATTTGCAACAAATCCTTTGGGATTGCCAATGGCAGCCTTCAGCTTTTCTGCCATGTTCCGCGCACATTGCATGGTGCTGCACCGCTTCTTCTTCGTTATGTGTGATGTGCTGTGGCTTTCACACAGGGGGATGGTTGGCTGAGGGGCTTCAAAAACTCCCACCAGCTTTAATTGTGTTGCTTCGCCCCGTCTGCCTGGTGTGATGCTCAGGGGCTCGGTCGCATCCAATTTGTTCATATTTCCTCTGTATATTCTAGCTTGGATATTTTGTACACAAATAAGTAAATAAGTACATAAACGTACATACATACATACATACGTACGTACGTACGTACATACATTACATACATACATACATACATACATACATACATACATACATACATACATACATTACATACATACATTACATACATACATACATACATTACATACATACATTACATACATACATTACATACATACATTACATACATACATTACATACATACATTCCATACATACATTACATACATACATTACATACATACATTACATACATACATTACATACATACATTACATACATACATTACATACATACATTACATACATACATTACATACATACATTACATACATACATTACATACATACATTACATACCATACATTACATACCATACATTACATACCATACATTACATACCATACCTTACATACCATACCTTACATACCATACCTTACATACCATACCTACATTACATACCATACCTACATTACATACCATACCTACATTACATACCATACCTACATTACATACCATACATACATTACATACCATACATACATTACATACCATACATACATTACATACCATACATACATTACATACCATACATACATTACATACCATACATACATTACATACCATACATACATTACATACCATACATACATTACATACCTTACATACGATTACATACATACATACATTACCTACCATACAATACATCCATACCATACATACATTACATACCCTACAACATTACATACCATACATACATTACATACCATACATAATTCCATACCATACATACATTACATACCATACATACATTCATACCATGACATACATTACATACCATACATCATTACATACCATACATACTTACATACCATACTACTTACATACTCATATCCATACATTACATACCATACATACATTACATACCATACATACATTACATACCATACATACATTACATACCATACATACATTACATACCATACATACATTACATACCATACATACATTACATACCATACATACATTACATACCATACATTCATACATTACATACCATACATTCATACATTACATACCATACATTCATACATTACATACCATACATTCATACATTACATACCATACATTCATACATTACATACCATACATTCATACATTACATACCATACATTCATACATTACATACCATACATTCATACATTACATACCATACATTCATACATTACATACCATACATTCATACATTACATACCATACATTCATACATTACATACCATACATTCATACATTACATACCATACATTAATACATTACATACCATACATACCATACCATACATACCATACATACCATACCATACATACCATACCATACATACCATACATACCATACCATACATACCATACCATACATACCATACCATACATACCATACCATACATACCATACCATACATACCATACCATACATACCATACCATACATACCATAACATACATACCATAACATACATACCATAACATACATACCATACCATACATACCATACCATACATACCATACCATACATACCATACCATACATACCATACCATACATACCATACCATACATACCATACCATACATACCATACCATACATACCATACAATACATACCATACCATACATACCATACCATACATACCATACCATACATACCATACCATACATACCATACCATACATACCATACCATACATACCATACCATACCATACCAACCATACCATACCATACCATACCATACATACCATACCATACATACCATACCATACATACCATACCATACATACCATACCATACATACCATACCATACATACCATACCATACATACCATACCATACCATACATACCATACCATACATACCATACCTACCATACCATACCATACATACCATACCATACCATACATACCATACCATACCATACATACCATACCATACCATACATACCATACCATACCATACATACCATACCATACCATACCTACCATACCATACCATACCATACCATACCATACCATACCATACCATACCATACCATACCATCCATACCATACCATACCATCCATACCATACCATACCATCCATACATACCATACCATCCATACCATACCATACCATACCATACCATACCATACCATACCATACATACCATACCATACCATACCATACATACCATACCATACATACCATACATACCATACCATACATACCATCCATACCATACCATACATACCATCCATACCATACCATACATACCATCCATACCATACCATACATACCATCCATACCATACCATACATACCATCCATACCATACCATACATACCATCCATACCATACCATACCAACCATCCATACCATACCATACCAACCATCCATACATACCATACCATACCATACATACCATACCATACCATACATACCATACCATACCATACATACCATACCATACCATACATACCATACCATACCATACATACCATACCATACCATACATACTACATACGCCTCCCACAACATACCATACCCATACCATACCCATACCATACCCATACCATACCCATACCATACCATACCATACCATACCATACCATACCTACCATACATACCATACAATACCATACATACCATACATACCATACATACCATACATACCATACATACCATACATCCCATACATACCATACATACCATACATACCATACATACCATACATACCATACATACCATACATACATTACAATACATTACAATACATTACTACATTACTCCATTTCATACTTACATACACTTACATACCATACCATACCATACCATACCTACCATACATACCATACAATACCATACATACCATACATACCATACATACCATACATACCATACATACCATACATCCCATACATACCATACATACCATACATACCATACATACCATACATACCATACATACCATACATACCATACATACCATACATACCATACATACCATACATCCCATACATACCATACATACCATACATCCCATACATACCATACATACCATACATACCATACATACCATACATACCATACATACCATACATACCATACATACCATACATACCATACATACCATACATACCATACATACCATACATACCATACATACCATACATACCAACCATACATACCATACATA